AACTTCCAGTAGCAACTCCAGTGATGAAAGTGGGGTGAGCATCTTCGGTGTTGCTCCGGCCCACGTAAGGTTAGCACAGAAACCGGGACACCGACAGAAGCTAACTCGGACAGCTGGCCCATTCCACAACCCCTCTGACCGGGCCAGACCTGTTGTCGGGGCTGCTGTCCTCGGGAAGGCCCTGCACAGCAGGTCACAGAGACCAGAGCAGGACACACCCGAAGAGACAGGGCTTGGCCCGAGAATCATAATCCTTTGTGCGTCACTCCCCAGCTGGGGGATGTGCCATCAGATTTCCCTGAGTTCTAGAGCCCAGCTCTCCACAACCGTACTTAGAAAAAGTAAATTAAAAAGGGAAGACATGAATGAAAGGTACAAGATAGAAATAAAGTTTAGTGAGGATCTTAGAGATGATCGAATTCACAGCCTTTGTTCAGTAAGTGAAAGTCTCCCTGTTGGTCAGCCGGGACTGACCGCCAAACCGGTGGGTACTCTGGCCTCTTCCTCACCGTGCCCCTGTCTCCGGGACACATACATAGGACAGCGCAGGGACTGGAGACCACCGCGCTTGGGAAGTGCCGTTCACGGGTCATTTCCATGTAATTCTTGTCCCTTCTCAGCAGGGTTCTCACCAGAGGTCCAGTCCAGATAGAAATCCTCCTGCCTGAAAGAAATGTGCCCACACGCTTACGTCTGGGGTAGACATGGATGGAAGGCAGAGAACACACCGCAGGGCCCATCTGGGGGCGGGGGAAGGTGGATGCGGGGGCGGGGGGCGAGGGCATGGCAGATCATGGCAGCAGGAGACTTTGGGCTGGACCAAAAGCAGGAGGGAGGAAGGGTCTCTGTCAGCATCACGGGAAGGGGCTCACCGCAGATTAGTGGGGGACGGTACAGTGCCCAAACGTACCGCAGGCTTCCTGGAACCCAGGCCAGCAGGGAGCAGATGAATGCCACACTCCCCTGCTGGAAGGCGGGGCTCTGTTCACCCCGTGGGAGCGAGCTGAGCGCTGCCGGTGTAGCTGCAGGTCGGCAGAATCGAAGGGTTTGGCAGGGATGGAGTGGAAGTGAGGAACTGGGTGTCCGTTCTCCGTCTCTCATGCCTACTTTTACATTCCAGGACCACAGTTAGGACTTAACATTTGTTCTGGGGCCTCGGTCCGTGGCCGTCGGCTGTGCCGTGCTGGGCGAGAGGGCGGGCAGTCGCGCTGGGTGAGCGGGGAGGGGTCCCTGTTTTTACCATTTCTGGACCCGGAGGGGTCCTGCTCCCTGCGGGGCAAGGCTGCATCTCAGGGGCCTGGCCTGAATGGGCACTGGGGTGTGCTGGGTGGGACGAGCTCTCAGTGGGAGGGAACGGGTGGCTCAGGTCTCCGGGCTGCTGGAGTCTAAGCGATAACAGATCATGTCAGCTCACACGGCCCCACTCCCGTGTTTGACTTCAGGGAAGGTATGAGGAAGCAGGTCGTGGGACAAGCATGTCAGCGAGGCGTGGCCCAAGCCAAGCCCCTCCAAGGTCAAACACCCGCTCCATGACTGACTCGTGACTCACCGGCTCGGGGAGCCAAGGGGACTCTCCTTCTCTCGTCTTGGGGACAGCAAAATCATTACATTTTATTTTTTTAAATGCAGTATTTATCATCACAAAAGTAATTGCTCGCTACAGAAACACTGCAATGATTAGGAAAGCAGGGTCCAAGGAGAACGGTGTGACGCCCTTTCGCCCCTCGTGCCACCACCGGGGTAGCATCTTCCTTATTCTGCTTCTACTGAGTTGTTTGTAAAATGTTATCCTGGTTTGTTTTTTTTATTTAACACTGTAGCATGAACATTTTCCAGGCAGTTAAAAATTCCATAGAGCTGCCCGGCCAGTGTGGCTCAGTGGTTGAGCGTCCACCCATGCACCAAGAGGTCACCGGTTCAATTCCCGGTCAGGGCACATGCCCAGGTTGTGGGCCTGATCCCCAGTGGGAGGCATGCAGGAGCCAGCCAATTAATGTTCTCTCTCATCGATGTTTCTCTCTCTCTCCACCTCCCTTCCTTCCTCTCTAAAATCAACAAAGAAAAAAATTGTTTTTTAAATTTTGTACAGCTATGTTGGTAATGGCTGAATGTTTCATCATGCATCATCAAACCAGCATTTGTTACTGACTTTCCATGATTGGTAATTTGGTAAATTGTCTACAATGTTTTATAATTATTGAGATTTCTTTTGATGACCTCTTCATGCAAAATGATTTCTCTGTGTTTAAGATTCTTTCTTTAGGGCACCCCCAAAGTAGATTTACGGGGTCAGAGCGTGTACCCTTTCTAAGACCCTTGTCCCAAAGCACCACACTGACTGTCACAAAGGGGGCCCATGTCCACTATGAAGTGGGTTCTGTCACCCCTGACTCTCAGCAGCACTGGACCTACTGATTAATAAATGGAAATTTTTTTTAAACATTTTTTTTTTTGATATTTTGTTCAGATAGAGTGGGAGAGAGAGAGAGAGAGAGAGAGAGAAACATCGACATGAAAGGGACACATCGAGTGGCTGCCACCCTCACAACCCAACCAGGGCTGGGGAAAAACAGCAACCGAAGTACATGCCCTTAGCGGGAACCGAACCCAGGTCTCTCTGGACCACAGGCCGACGCTCTAACCACTGAGCCAAACAGGCCAGGGCTAAACAGAATTTGACACTTGATTGGCTTACACACTGTTATTATTTAAAATTATTTCTTTGATTCCTAATACTTTCTCTCATCTTTCCTATAATTTTAGGTCCTTGCATGTTGCCTTCTAAGAATCTGATGCTCATGTCCTTTGCCTCTATCTATTGGAGCTTCAGGGAATTAAAATTCAACTTGTGTGAGCTTCTTAGATCTTCAAGTTTTTAAATCTTTCTTCATCGTATATACTATACACAAATACAGGTTAAAAGCATTTCATATCCAAAGCTTACAGTTGTTTGCCTGGTTAAATTTGCTCTCTCCCTACACGTGCTATGCACATTCCGATGGTTTCTGTCATTGTTACAAGGCTCAGAAATACCTAAACATTCCAGACATCAGTTACGTATTTATTGCTATTTTCTTTAATTTACGTAAAACATGGTTGCTATAGCAACTGCTTTGGTGGTCGGTCAAGAGGTCAGAGTTGGGGCCATGGCTGCCTTCCCATTTTATGCCCTATTATATCTGCTTCCATGTCAGCAGGATGCGGTTATTTGCCTGGTGGGGTGATAGTGACCCAAACTTTGACATCTATCGGATCCGAGTCCTTAAGTGGTTTTATGTTGATCGAGTGGCTGCCTCCCACACGACCCAACCAGGGCCGGGGACAAACTGCAACCGAGGTACGTGCCTCAGTTTTCCATCCACAGGGACCCCTGGGTAAGAAGTGCTCACAGAAGTCCCCGTGATCCCCTGGACTACATGCACTGTCCTCCTCATCCTCATTCAGTAGCAGCGATCCAATTTCCCTTGGTACCTCGGACTAGTCCCTCTGCAGTGCTTCTCAACCTTCCTAATGCCGCGACCTCTTAATACAGTTCCTCGCCCTGGTCGATTTGGCTCAGTGGTTAGAGCGTCGGCCTGCGGTCCAGAGAGACCCGGGTTTGGTTCCCGCTAAGGGCACGTACCTCGGTTGCAGTTTGTCCCTGGCCCTGGTTGGGTCGTATGGGAGGCAGCCACTCGATGTGTCTCTTTCACTTCGATGTTTCTCTCTCTCTCTCCTTCCCACTCTATCTGAACAAAAAATGGAAAAATGTCCTTGGGTGAGGACAAAAAATAAATGGTAAGAATACAGTTCCTCAGGTTGTGCTGATCCCCAACCATAAAATTATTTTCATTGCTACTTCATAACTGTAACTTTGCTACTGTTATGTCTTAGGCGACCCTGTGAAAGGGCCGTTTGACCCCCAAGGGGGTCGCGACCCACAGGTTGAGAACCGCTGCCTAGCCGCTGTCCCTTCTCTGACGGCTGGCTCACTGGTATAAAGAGGCCAGAAGGGCCGTCGTCACGGCTGAGTCCCTGGACCCAAGAGCGGGTTTCCATGGGGACGCCAGCCTCTCGGACACCAGCACTCCGCCCGTAAGACCGCGGCCTGGGGATGGGAAGCCCAAGTTCCAGAGGTTCCTTCTTTAATCGTAAGAAAGACGCTCCTACTTGTGTTGTTTGCTTCTGGACACGTGCACTTCGGGTGAGCAGGACCCTGGACGCTCGGGCTCAAGGCGTGTGGGCCGCCGGGCAGACAGGCCGCGTTCCGTCAGGCCGCCGGCCCCTGGTTCTGGGCATGTGCAAGGACCGGTGAGCTGCTTGGACCTTGTGAATTCCTTTGCCCTAAAATGTATTGTGATGTATCCCACGCCTGGACTACACACTCTGCCGATTCACAGCGCGCTGCCAGCAGCTGCGGGTTCAGAGGGAGGGCGTGGACAGACCCAGACCCTCCGTCCCTGCCCCTCTAACCGAACGGCCCTCATGGAGCCAACTCGCCACCTGGTGCAGCTCCCCCTCCCTGGACTTGGGTCCTCAGAGTAGTTGAAATGGCTGTGCACCCACACGAAAGGACGAGGCCGGGCGGGCAGGCCCTCTCTGTTCCTCCTCCTCCCCTTGAATTGGGTGGCAGGGACCCCGTGAGCCATTGTTAACACAACTGGGCCTTTCGGGGGCCGTCTCTCACCATGAATCACTTTCCAGTGAGTGTACTGTTGATATTGGCCAGTACAGTTGGGACCCGGACCGGGTCATGACCGAGGAGACTCCCAGGGATAAGAGCGAGACGTTCTGAACCTCCAATCCCTCAGCAAGATGACCACGGGACGCGGGTTACCTCTATCAGCAAACTCGTCCCTGGGGCTGGCCCATGTTTAGGTAACACCTTTTAATCAGCGGAGATTACTTGGCATGGAGGACTGTGAGACCCTCCTTAGGCAAATGTTATCTAACACTCTCTCGGCAAACAGAGCCTGGGCTTAAAATCAAGGCCTCAGGCAGGCTCTCACCCCCGACGGAGAGTCTCCTGGGAAGCGCAGGAGAACAGCATGGCCGCCATGCAGCCCAAGGTGACCTGTGTCCTGCTCCTGGTCTTCTGGCTGGCACTCAGCACCCTGGCCCAGGGCCAGGACGGTAAGGCGGCCTCGCTTCTTGGTGGGCACCTGGGCGCGGAGAGGTGGCCTTGAGGGGGTCTCTGCTTCACGATGTGTATTTTTGAACCAAGCATGGTTTTAGGCCTTTTGAGAGGTTTTAGGAGGCAAAGCAGGGGGTGATAGCAGCGGGGGCCCAGTGACACCTTTGAGAACTGCTATCCCCCAGGCCTGCAGCTAGAGTACTCTTCCTGAACACCGTAAGTCAAGAGCAAGCTGTGATGCAGGTCTAGGAATAGAGTCCTAAATGTCCCAGCCAACTCTCCCCCGGGGAGTGGACCCACTCAAAGTCCACGCAGATGTCCCCGTGCCTTCTCCATGGGTGGCACCCCGAGGACCTCGTCGGCAGGAGTGTGGGCTCTCCTGGGCCCCATGCTCGGCAGGGCCCGAACCACCTGTCCCTTGGGTTAACGTTCCATCCATTCAGCCCATGGGAGAGGGCACTATTGCTTCCTTTGAGCTTGTTAGTGTCTCAGGGGCTTTATCTTCAGAGTGTGATCAATTGCCTGTCTTAGAGGGGTGTCAAGAAAATTCGGGGTGACGACGTTTGTGGAAAGTGCTTGGCAAACTACAAAATGCTAAACAAACATGACTTGTTAATGCTGGGACGCTCTGCTGGGTTTCACCTCGGTCTTGAAGGGTGTCCCCCATCCGCCTGTCTTTGGAGGGTCTGTCTTGCACAGAGTCAGATGCCCCAGGTCAAGGCCAGCTGTGGCCACCTCTGCCCTGGCTCTGTCCACCTGTCTCTGATTCTCCTCCCTCCTCTGTTCAGGCTCCTTCCCGCTCTGTCCCTTTGCTGCTGATGCTCCCAAGCCCAAGGCAGAGACAGGGAAGGGGTTCCAGGCTCGTCTTCCATTACTGCCCCAGCCCGCCGAGCTCGCCTTCCCAGAGCCTCGGCCCCGAGTGCGGATCCTGCGGATCTTGCCTCCAGACCTTGTGGGAGTTGCCATTTCTTCACTCCTCTGGCGAAAGCTGTTGTTCTCAGACTGAAACCATGTGCCTTACCTTCAGCCTGGCTCGCTCAGACCACCCTCCCCACCTCTGCGTTGTACCTGCGATCGGACTTCCTCTGCCTCAAACACAGCTTGCTCCCTCCCTTCACTGCCCCTGAACCTGCGGCTCCCTCGGCTTGGAACATGCTTGCTTCCTCCTCATGTGGTCAGCCTCCTCCTACAGGAAGTGCTCCTTGCTCTGCCCAGCCCTGTCGTCCCTGGACACACTGGGACGGCCGCACAGTGCCGTTTTCTACATGTACTTGGCTTTCTCCTCCATTTGACTTTTGGTTTCTTAACGAGTGTGTATTTTTAATTTCTGGGTCCCCACCACCTGGCACAGAGCCCGGCATGAACTCGATTTCGGAGGGACCTGGGTTGTCTGTTTTTGCTGTGCCAGCAGCCCCTGTTTCTAGCACACAGATGGTGCTCAACAGATATACATTGATTGAGTAAATACGTTTAATCATCATTAGTTGAAATTAACGAGTGAACGAATAAACTGTCCAGGGAGGTACAAGGTTTACAGATGCCGGGCACCTTGCATTTTCCCCGAGGTCACGTGTTCAGGCCAGGAAAGGAGGACAGGGTCTCCCTCTCAGGACCCGAGCCCTGGGTCTACATCAGCCGCGCCCGTTGGTCGCTGATTTCACTGGAGAATGAAGTGGGACTGGAGTGTGACGAGAACGGTGAGGAGTGCAGTTCATGACCGCCCTTTGCCTCCTGCCCCGTGCGCTTCCAGAGACGTGCACAGTGGCCCCGAGCCAGAGGAAGAACTGCGGTTTTCCGGGCGTCACGCCTTCCCAGTGCGCAGCAAAGGGCTGCTGCTTTGACAGCACCGTCCCCGGGCACCCGTGGTGCTTCTACCCTTCGAAGGTCGATGACCTCCCAGAAGGTACGTCCATGACAGCGCTGTGGGCGCTGGCGGGGTAGTGAGTGAGACAGCCGCCTGGGACCGCGGGGCTCGGATGCGCTTGGCTCGCTGTGTTTTGACCCAGGACGGGGACCACAGGGTGGCCGTGGAGAGGGGGCTTAGCCTGAATCACGCTGAAGGCAGGTCTGGGGGCGGGAAGGCCGCACGGAAATGCTGGCGTGGGGTGGGGGAGAGAAGTGGCCGATCTGAGGACAGCCATGTTTTCTGGACTCTTCCCATGGAACCTTTCACGCCAAGTCCCCCGCAGTTACTTCGCCGCGAGAGAACAGCCGCATTCTCACTAACCCGTGTCTCCCCCACCCCCGCTTCTAGAGGAGTGCTCGTTTTAGCCGCTGTCCCCGGGGAACCGCGTCTGGGCGCGGAGTGGACGCCCGGGCCGCCGCTCGGGGCTTCTGCCTCGGAGCCTCCGCTCACCGCATGGATCGACTGCTTCGATTTGTCGTGCTCAGAAATGACCTAAAAGCAAAAGGGATGAGTGCTACTTTGTGCTTCTAGTGCTTTTAAAAATAAAGATGATTTTTCTTTCTTCCAAGGAGAAGGGCTGTGTTTCCCCTCTGGTTTCTTGTCATGGTTACACAGTAATTCACACTATCTCGGGCGCGATATGAGGGGTGGGTGCGAGGGTGAGTGACAACAGGGTTGTAGAAGTTGACTCAGTAGCCGTCAGCAGCCGGGGTCCATGCACAAGGCCCTTCATTGCAAAGTCTTCAAGAAGCGACTCCAAGCCACACCCTTGTCCAGTCAGATACAGGCACCAGACTCTACTGACGTTCTTGCAAAATTCATTGGGGATGGTCCACTGCCAAGTAACAAAAACCCACACAGAGGCTGACAGCGTTAATAATAACCAATGGCAGAGCGGGACATGAGTTGGCATCTTGAAGAACAACACTGTGGGGCTTAGTAAGAACCCCTCCCCAAGGGAGGAATACGAAGGCCACATGCCACCTTATTACTGACACAGGGAAAATGGAAGGACACGGAGACAAATGCACCTGCCAACTATACCCTGGTATCGAACAGAAGCGCACCCGGGCCAGCGATGCAGACTGAGCAGCCTTGGGTGCCGCAGCCCCACAGCGTTGCCGGGAGACTGAGGAGAGGCCACCAGCTCGGGGCTGTCACCCGCCCCAGGAGCTCAGCTACGAAGTCCTCTGCTCCCCGGATCGGCTCCTCCTCTCAGGTGCCCTGCGTAGGGTTCAACCTGGACAGCTATTGCTGGGGTTCCAGGAGCAGGGGAGCACTCCCGCCCTCCACTGAGCTTGTGTGAGCGGTGTTTCCACATCGGCCGGTCGGATCAATCACTCCCCAAGCCTTGGCCACCAGGACACACATGTACAGAGGCCCCAGGGCCAGGAGGACAGTGCACAGGCAGGGACGTCAGGAACGCCAGCACACGCACAGCAGCACACACGTGTGTGCGGGTGTGCGTGCCATGTTCTGTGTGCTATCGCCAGGCCTCTCCTCATGGCGAATGTGCAGAGAAATGTCCGCTTCTCTGCTGTGTCCGTGGTGTACCTGATCTCTGCTGCGCCTACTAGTTCGAGGCACAGAGAAACTGACTTCGTGAGTCCGACCCTTGTGAGAGGCAGCCTCTTAGTCGCGGCCTCTGGAGGTAACCACCCCTGGGAATATGCCGCTCAGTCCTCAGGCCCACCCCTTCCTGATCCTCTCCATGGCTGGTAGAGGGGGAGGGGCTCAAGTGGCCCGGAGTGGCTGCGGAGGGAGGGAGTCCTCGGGTCTGTGGACATCCCTTGGGTTTTGTGGAGCGGGACTCGAGCATTGTCAGGAGTCCAGCCAGTTTCATACCCTGTGCCTCCCACCCCACCTTCTCCAGCGCCAGAGAGGTCAGCTTTTCCCCACGACAGCTTGTGGTAGAGCTGTTTCCCAGGTCTGGTCATCCATCCCTTCCCTCCTTATTTCTCACCTGACTTCTACTCTGCGAAGAAGGGGGAGGAGCTCACTTTGCCCACCTCTTTCAGTTAGAGGTGGCCATGAGTTTCCATTCTGGGCATGAGGCAGAGGGGCATCTCCTCAGAGGTTCTTGAAGAAGACTTTCCTTCCTGGTAAAAGACGAGCTCCTTTTGGCTGCCCTGGCCGCACTTGCAGCCCGCCTTTGGATGCTGTGTGGCATGAAGGTGTGATGTGGTGCTTCAGGCAGCCATTCTGTGATAACGAGGAAAAGCCAGAGAACTAGGGCCTTGACGTCTCAGAACTGCTGCTTTGACCCATCACCACCCACCTCCAGACTTCATGCTAAGTAAACCCAAGTGTCCTGATGGGTTAAAGTGCTGCCTGTTGAGTTCCTCAATGACACGTGACCAAGATTCAGGTCTGCCCTGTACCATAGAACAGCCGCCCCATGGCCCAGCTGCCACAGGCAGGGGCAAACTCTCCCCCGAAGTAAAAGTGCTCAGGATGCATCCTCCAGCTGGGCCCGTGCAGTTGTTGCCTTGCCGGGGTTCACCCTAGCTCCTCGCTACGCTGCCCGTCCGTCCTGGCCCAGGGCAGGAAGTCTCCGGCCTGGTGTAAGGGGTGAGCTGGCAACGGGAGGTGCTTGGAGACAATCAAAAGGCCTCACTGCATTTTCAAAACCAACTCCATCGCAGATGACACCCCATCCTTATCTTCACCCCCTTTGGTAACGGAGGCCAAGGAGCCCGCAGGTGTTTAATGACCTGCCGGGTGAGCAGGCCCACAGAGCGGAAGGGCTCAGCACGCTGTCAGGTCAGAGATCCACCCAGGGTCGAGGTTTACTAGTAGATTCAAAGACGCAATCGAGAGGAAGCCGAGGGAGGGGTCTGGGACACAAGGACAACACCCCTGTTGTTCCTTCCTGTGGGTCTGCAACAGAGACGAGGACCCCCGTGGGGCTCCCACAGCAGGGCCTTTGGTCATGGGTCATCTCCCTTTTCTCACCCCGGGAGCCATGACACATGGACTGGGAGCTCCTTGGCACTAAGGCCCCCAGTGGCCGGGGACATCCAGCAGCAAAGTGCCTTCCTCCTGGCCAGCGTGTCAGACTGTGGGCCTGGGGGCGAGGTGACGAGGAGACTGAGTCCTTCTGTCTCCCTGGATCCTGGCCCAGGGAAGGACTGAGTGGATACGGGGCTGACGGCATCGCCCCTCCTCCCACCAGGTTACACAGGGAGAACCCAGTCCACCTCCAGGATGTGTGATCGCATGGCTCCCCCACCTGGACGCCAGGCGTCTCGTGGAGGAGAGAGACTGGGACTCCTGCAGGGGTCCCTGCCTCAGCACGAAGTGATGGGGGGCACGTCATTCTGTCCCGTCATGGCCCAGCACCCTGCAGGGGGCCCAGAGGTGGGTGCAAAGAAGGTGTGGCTTGACCTCTGCCACACTGTTTCCAGAAAGTCACAAAAATCCAGAAGAGTCCCAGCAGTGTGTGCAACTGGTATGTGTGGGGGTGGTGGTGGGGGGGCTGGAGGCAGAGCTCAGAGCGGGGACGGGAAGGGCAGCCCGCCCGAGCGTGCCCACCCGCGGCTCTGACGGCCAGCCTGCTCGGAGATGCCAGGGCCAGGCCTCCTTGGGCCGACCACACACGTCCAGTGGACCAAAGCACTCGCTCCAGTTTTGGGGGTGGTGGGAGCTGCAGAGTTCTGGGTGCAGTGACAGCTGGGGTAGCACATGTGGATGTGGGAGCTCGGTCGGGGGGACAGAGGGCACTGGGCGATGTGCCACTTCCTTCTCGTGGTTGGGGGGCGGTTGGGCAGAAAACCCAGAAAGACCCAGCAGAGGGCAATGTTTGTTCCTCACACCCGGGAATCTAGACATCAGAGCCTGCCCGGGGCCAACCTCCTCTCCCGGCAGCCCCTCTCTCACAGTGTGTCCACCCCCTCCATGCCCCTGGCAGTGACCACCTCGGGGGAGGGAACCTGGATGGGGGTGCTTGGTATCGCACACACCCCTACCCGTGCCTTTCTACAGCCATGAGCACTTGGGCGAGGGGGGCAGAGCTGATGTGCTGAGGAAGCAATGCGACTCCTCGGGCACTGCAGTCCTTGATGTGTGGGTGGGGTGCGGGGGGAAGGCGAGCTGTGGTGCTAACGTGCTTAATAAGAACACTCATCCGGCCGGCGTGGCGCAGTCGTTGGACATGGACCCAGGCACCGAAAGGTCGCTGGTTCGATTCCCGGTCAGCGCACAAGCCCAGGTTGTGGGCCTGATCCCCAGTAGGGGGCGTGCAGGAGGCAGCCAGTCGATGTTCTCTCTCATCAATGTTTCTATCTCTCTCTCCCTCTCCCTTCTTCTCTCTCTCAAATCAATAATAAAAAAAAAAGAACAGCTCTGCTGATAAGGCACAGGAGTAGTTAACAGTTTGGGGGATGTAGAACACACGTGCACACGTATGCACACGTGTACATACATACTGCATGCACATATGAGCACACACACACAAGTACACAGCCCTTAAAGCACCCGAGTCGCTCTACCCCTCCCCCCCATCCTTGGAAAGCAAGCCGAGGACACCTGTGTGGAAGGTGATCTGGGGGCCAGCCCTCTCTTGTATCTGAAACCACTGGATTTTGGCCGGGAGAAGAAAGCCACCCTTCTAATGTGCATATTTGAATGTATGGCTTGGTAGTAAAAGTTTTAGTTTTTGTATTTTTGTTTGTAGAAACAGGCTTTCTACTTCAGAACAGCCTCGGTGGAATGACGTGTCAGTTTAGTTTTTTGGTTTCAGCAGACATGATGCTGATCTGTCCTGTTCAGTCCCAGATGCTGGCGAAGCTGTCCCCAACACCCCACAGGCTGCCCTTCCCCTACCAGCTCGGGGAACCTTCCAAAACGGTCTGTGTCCTTGAAGAGCTTCAGACAAAAGTTTGGGAAGTGTCTCATGGGGAAAGTCAGGTTTGTGGGGCGAAGTGAGGGGTTTTCTGGTAAGTACCTGGGTGGACAGAGTGGTGTCTGCATCAGGCCGGGCGGGGGCTCGGACGGTGACGGGAACACAGCGGGGAGCGGGACTGGCCCACGCGCAGGGGGCCCAGGGAAAGGGCGAGCAGGCCTGACCCCTGAGGCTGGTGGTGCTGCTGCCCTGTGGTTCCACCGACACCCCGAACCCATATCGCAGCCCCTGCTTTTCCTCAGGGAGTTGCTGGGTTAGTCAGCGCGGGCGCCACAGGGCAGACTGCGTGGCCGTCCCAGGGCCTGGAAGTCTGAGACCAAGGTGTCTTCCTCAGGAGACCTCGTCCCCTGGTTTGTGGACGGCCGTCCTCCATGTCCTTCGTGCTGGTGCCTCTGCAGACACCTGTGCCCTGACCCACCCCAGAGGCCTCATCTGCACTTACTTACCTTTCTGAAGCCTCGTCTCTACCCAAGGTCACATTCCGAAACAGCGGTGGTCAGGACTTCAGCTGATGAATCAGGGAGACACAATCCGGCCCGAAACAGTGTGTGTCTGTTCCTTCCAACCACAGAGCCCTGGTCCACGCAAATCACCAACGCGCAGGTGTCGCCACGGTCAGCTGCTGTCTGCAACCTGTCGATTC